GTGGTCCCTGATGCTTTGCTAAGCTTGTTCTAAGTAGGTGCTTTAGACCACTGAGCCATCTCTCCAGCCCAATCCTTAATAATTTAGTTGATAGGTTACGAGTGAGAAGATTTAGTCATGGGTTCAAAAAAAAAAAAAAGAATCTTCTGGATGGGTGCATCAGACCCCCTGGAAAACACGGGAAAGGATCTGTGTTTGGGGTGCGCTGTTTGCCAGGGGGCTCCTCAGGATCTGTGGGAACTGTACAGGTCTCACTTTTACATTCCTTGCCCTAGAGGGTTCACCTAAGCCCCCCTGCCCAGACTCAGGAGCATTCCAGTGGCTCCTGGGGCTCCCGGCTCACACGTCCTGCCCCTGACCTCAGATGTTCTCAAGCATCCTCATGTCCACAGCCTAGTCAGGGAGAAGGCGGTGAGGTTGGAGGGAACCATCACTGCTTAGAGGTACTGGACCTCTTGGGACAACTCAAGACCCCAACGTCAATTCTGTCCACATTCCTAAAAGGATAGGGTAATATTTTAACAACATTGTGACTAGATCGATCTCCTTTGCTTAGGTTACACCATCAGCAACTGTGAGATAAGACTTTGAACTTCTTTACGATGCCCCGAGTGAGTCTGCCTCCAAAGGCTGGTTTTATGAAATGTGTCTGAGGATGTGGGCGAGAGGAAAGGGGCTGTTGCACCTGCTATAACAGGCTTCAGACTCTACCCAAGGATGCCTTCAGGAGCCCACCCAGAAGCTTCTGAGCCCAAGCCCTCACCATGAGGTCAAATCACACCTGAGCCCACCCTTCTCTCCCCCTACAAAAGGAACCCTGATACCTCAGGGAGTGGTCAAGGCCGGCCTTCTGCCTCAGGGTCCCCATACAGGAAAGGCAACCCCAGCCTTACTACCTCAAAACATGCCACACAAATGAGCCTGTGAAAAGATACTCCACATCCTTAGGCATTATGAAATAGCAAACTAGAGTCATGATGAGAAATACCTAGTAGAAAAGCTGATTTAAACAATATGGAGGGGGCCAGAGAGATGGCTCAGTGGAATAAGCGCTTCCCTGGCAAGCACAAGGGCCTGAGTTCAATCCCTGGTTCCACAAAAAAAAATAAAGTAAAATAATAAAAATAAACAATATGGAGAGTGCCAAAGAAACGGCATCTCTCCTACTTTGCTGGTGGGAATGTAAAATGGTAAAACTACTTCGTAAACTAGCCTGGCAATTTTTTGTTGTTTTTAGTCTTTCCTCAATGCTGAGGACTGAACTCAAGACCCCAAACATGTTAGGCATGCATTCTACCACTGAGCGACATCCCTAACCCTTGGCACTACCTTAGAGTTACATATAGTTATACAATCCAGTGATGGCAGAAATGAAAGGGAAATGAAAGTTTATATTCACACAAGAACCTGTACACAAAGGTGCATAGCCGCTTTCTCTGGATGGCCCCCACATGGAAACAACCAGGTATCTTTCAGTAGGTAAGAGGCTACAACCACTTGCTAAGAAGGAATCTCTATTGATATGCAAAACAATTTGCTCAGGGAATTATACTGAGCAAAAACACCTAGTCTCAGAAGTTATATGCTGTATGTTTCCATGAATATAACCTCAAAATGACAAAATTTTAGAGGTGGAGAACTGATCAATGATGACCAGGATTTGGAGACAGAGGGAGGACGTGACATAACTGAGTAGTGTGAGGAAGATTTTCTGTGACAACAATACAGCTATGCACTTTTTTCGTGATGATCAGATGGGTCTATAAATGTGGAAACACAGACCTATAGACAATGACATAAAAATGAGTCCGAGGAAAAATTGGCAAGATCTACAGAAGGTCTGTAGTTCAATTAATTATATTGAGCCCATATCAATTTTCTGGTTTTGTACTATAGATAAGGTGTACATGTAGGACCTCTCTGAATTAGTTTTTACAATTTCTTCTTTTTTTCTTTTTTCTTTTCTTTCTTTCTTTTTTTTTTTGCGGAACTGGGGATTGAACTCAGGCCTTTGCACTTGCCAGGAAAGCGCTTATTCCACTGAGTCACCTCCCCAGCCCAGTTTTTACAATTTCTTGTAACTCTATAGTTATTTTAACAATTTGCTCTTTCTTTTTTTGCGGGACTGGGGATTGAACTTAGGCCTAGGAGCTTGTCAGGCAAGTGCTTATCCTACTGAGCTATCTCCCCAGCCCCTCTACAGTTATTTTAAAACAATAAATTTAAAACAAAAACAAAAATGTGCCATTAAGCTAGAGTGACGTGTTGTCACAGAAATAGGCAAATACAAGAGTGTTTCCTCAAAGTCGTTCTGCATTCTGCTTGTGGATTGTAAAATTATTTGAAACGGTACATAAGTATTTTTTGCTTCAAAATTTGTGCATTTATTTTATTTACTTATTTTTTTAAAATTTTTATTTATTTATTTATGTGTGTGTGGCCAGCTCAGCCCACCAGGGGGCGGGGCTGGCTGGCATGTGGTGCTGGGGGATTGAACCGTGGTCCCTGTGCTTTGCTAAGCTTGTTCTAAGTAGGTGCTTTAGACCACTGAGCCATCTCACCAGCCCCCTTGTGCATTTATTTTAATGTTTACTAGAAAAAGTTAAACCTATGATTTTGCATGCTTAGATAAGGTTAAATGAGTATTGAATTTTAAAATACATTATGTGTGCCGTGCCAGCCCCACCCCCAGGGTGCGCTGAGAGGGCGATTGAGACTGGGCAGTGGTGGCATGTGTGCCTGTAATCCCAGCACTTGGGAGGCTGAAAACAGGAATATCACTACGAGTCCGAGCTGTGTAGTGAGACCCTGTAGACCCTGTACTAAATACATTAAAAAAATACAAATGCTAAAGTATTAAGTAAATAGATGGAATATGAACATACCAAACAAAGATGAAACCTAAGTGACTACTTCTATTGTACCTAAGGGAACAATAGAATAAATGACACACTA